TCCTTTGCCCACCCCCACCTCCCCCGGCTTGGCATTTCGCCTCCGAGGCATTTCCACAGAGGCCGGTTCGACCTCTGGCTAGCCCTCCTTGCGTTCTCTAAAAAGCGATCAGAAGTGGAGTTCCAAGCCCTTCCGTCAGGGGGCGCTCTTGGGAACCCTGTGGTGCTCCCCCAGGGCCGCCACTACCACCACCCCGCCAGGTGGGATTCGATCTCGCAACCTTGTGGCTAATGGTAGAGCAGCTTTCTCCGAGTTTCATCTGATACAACAGAACCGCGGGGGAATGGGTGCAAGCTACTTCCGCGGATGCGGAAAAACGCGGAAGAATGGGACCATTAGGCGTTGCACAGGCTCCGCCTGCCTCTAGCGGCCGGTTATGGTAAATACACCCTGGAAATCTGTATGTATCGCTAAGATTTCTTATTTAGTATTCTCTGATAAGTGAATCAGCAGAAATATGATCCTCAGGTTGGGGCTTCCTGTATTGGAACCACCTGTGTTTTTCAGCTCCAGGGGCCCAAATCGCTCCACGGATCTTGGGCACGGCGCTCCCTACATTTTCAGGAGGGGGTCGACCCCCTTGCCTCAGGCAGCAAAATGCCTTGGGCGGGCCCAGGAAAAACACAATCCAAGACTACCAGATCAATGCACTGTTTATTGGGGGAAGGGGTGGGAGGGGAGGGGGCCCGCCTGGCACCGCGCACCCCCTCAGTCCGCGTAGCCCGTCTCCCCATCGCTGCTGTCGTCGCTGGAAACCAGCTCGTTGGGGCTGCAGGCAAAGCAGACGCGCCCCATGTCCTGCCAGCAAAGTTTGCAGTAGAGGGTCCCGCAGTCCGAGTTCGGGCACGGCCGGGAGCGTCTGGATTCGGGCAGGTTGCAGAGGATGCAACGCCGGCGGAGAAAGCGCCGGACGAAGGGGAACCAGCGCCCGATGTGGTCCACCAGGGGCTTCTCCTGGGAGGGGAAGAAGGAGGAGGGGTGCTCAGCGCCCACCATGGATGGAGGCGTTCCTGTTTCGAACCTCACCCTAGCCATAAACGGATGCGTTGGATTTGTCATCAGAATCGCTGCCTCTTCTCTCTGACTCCCGTCCGGGATATGGACATAATAGTAACATCGGCCTACCTTACAGGGCCGTCGTAAGGCAGAACGGCTAGCCGGCAAGCTGATATCTAGCAGACAGGAAGAGATTGGCATTACAGAGACATGAAACTCTAGTCTCATTTTCTCAGCTCCAGACGAAGGACGGAGCAGAATGGGGTGGATGGGCAGGGAGGATGGGTGTTGTAGTCCAGCCCCTCTGAAGAGTGCCTGGCTGGGCTGGGAATTCTCACCTGCAAACCTGCCTGGGAACACATACACACACACAGGTGCAGAACTACAATGCTCATCATTCCTGCTCATCATAGAGGAGGCACCAGGCGGGCCCAGGCTGTACCACTAAATTAAGGGCATTTCTGCTCCAAATTAAGATTCTAGTCCTCATGGTGGAGATTACACCTAAAAGCCATAGGGACAGGTATAGGGTACTTGATACCCTGTGACTTAGGAGCTTCCTAAATTAGTACTGGGTGTATGTGCGCGTTCTGTAGTATTTTCAGACTACAACTCCCAGAATCCTCCAGGGAACCTGAATCGACACACACAGAGGACGGTTTTCAAGTGATTTGATTCCACCGTCAGGCTCCTCGCCTTCTGGTTTCCTGTTGCTTCCTGCTGTCGATTTCTTTTTTAAAAAGAATTTTAAAAATAGGCCTCCAGAGAGGCCTAGTTCTTTGGGAGACGCGCTCAATAAAACCTAGTGGGCCACTGCGCTATGACTCCCAGGAAGCCCGGCGGCCACTTCCTTTTCATACCACTCCAAAAAGCACCCCCCCCAATTCGCACCGTCCACCTCGTGGGAGATCAAAACTGGATCTGCTCCCCTGCTGCTGAACTACAACTCCCAGCAGTCAGGGATTCCGGGAATTGTAGTCCAGGACTACATCAGGGGAACCTCAGACAGGGAGAACTCAAGAGACCTCCCCGGACAACGGAGCTGGTGCCGTGAGGCTGCCAGCCAGAGATGGGAAAGGTCGGGACTACAAAACCCAAAATCCCCTCCAGCAGCACGGCTCCCCCAGAGGATGGTGGGTGTGATCCTCTTTAAAAAGTAGATTTTCTTCCATGTTTTGGAGTGACACGGATAACCTGTTATTCATGGCCCATAACAGCCCAGGGCTGGGCTGGGGATTCACTTACTGGTCCCACTGGGAGGGAAGAGCCCGAGGCAACAGGAAACCTTGCCCAGTATCCCCCTGCTGGGCGGAGGAACTGGAAACAAGGGGGTAGCCGTGGGTCGGAAAGGGGAGGTAGCCGCTCCCATAGAAGTGCTAACAGGGCTGGATGCGGTCATGATGAGCACCAACGGGCGGGGGGTCAGATTCGAAACAGATGCACAGCAAAGACCCCACCCTGCAAATTCCTGAAATTCAGGAATTTTGGGGTGCTCTGGGGCCTATAACGTTCGAAGCTGGCCGTGCTACCGTTAAAATTATATTCAGACCCAGGAAGAGGAGACGCTGCTTTGATCCACAAAATGACGAAGCCGGAGAGGAACAAACAACAGCCTTTTGCCAAGAACGGGGGTGTGTCCCTTAAAAAAGATGCTTCAGTCAAAGAGGGCCAGTGGGGGGGGAGAATTTGAACTCGCAACTTCCAGCTCTCCGGGAATCCAACCTCCTTCTGCTGACGTTCTGGTGGGCGACTCTGTGAATACAAGCTGGACGCGACGGGCCTTTTCGTCCGGTCCGTCCCAGCTCCTTCGGAGGCCAGGCTCTCGCCGAAGTGGACACCAAGAGGGGAGAGGACCCGGAGGGTCAAGGAAACGAGACCCCCGCCCCTTCGACCTACCAGCCTTTTGCGCCGGCGGGCTCGCAGGATGATGCGTTTCCTCTGCACGGCGATGAAGGCCAGGCGCTGCCGAAGCATCTCGTTGTAGAGAAACAGGGTCCGTTTCTTCTCCCTCTGGTGGAAAGCAGGGAGGGGGGATAGAAAGATATGTTGAGAAGGCCGGGGGAAGGAAGCGCCGGAGAGGCGATGGCCTCTCAGAACCAAAATTCAAGCTGGCCCTTTCCAGTTACTTAAGCTGTTACAGAAGGACCACCTTATTTGCAGTGGATCAGTTCCAAGCTCATCCGCGGATGATGAAACCCGTGGATAATAGCAAGCCCTATATATATAGCATGGTCTCTGTCTCCCTCTAGTGGCCAGTTCTGGTAATAGCATCATGGAAATACATATTTCTGGGGGGTTTCCCCCCTATATTTTTTAATAATTTCAGACCAGATAAGCAAAACTGCGGAGAATGATCCTGCAGATAGAAGGCTCCTGCTCTCTTTGCGTTCTTGTTTTCCTCTTCCCTCCTCCTCCCCTTTTCCTTTCCTGCTGTGGCTCCGAGTGGTCACAAGCTGATTTGTACAGCCCTGAGAAATCTGTAAAAGTTTGGGGAGGTGGAAGAGGCCGAGAGCAACAAGCCGAGGGAGCAAACGCCTGCTCCGTTTCAGGCCAGGACGGGGGGGCGTAGGATCGTTTGGGGGAACCCGGGACACCGACCTTCGGGAAGTAGAAGGCGGCAATGACGCGGCGGAGGCGGAAGACGTAGACCTGCAGGAAGCAGAGCAGCACCAGCGCCCCCAGTGGAATGGCACAGTTCAGGTACTGGACCTTATTCATCCCTCTAGCGTCGGGCAAGCATTCTGTGGAAGATGGAGATGAAGAAAGGAGGGGGGGAGTCATCCAGGACCCCCTAATCCCCTCTCAAGCATCCCATAACCCAAAGCACTCAGAAGCTATACGGTTTTTTTTAAATAGCTCTGAGCTCTACCGGATTAACAAAACCTCCATGGGCAGAGGCAGTCCACCTCGGAAGCTAAAAGTAAAGGAAGGTGCGTAGTCGGCTGGTTTGGCGATGTTAACGCTCGTTGGGGCTTTGGGTCTTGAGTCTTCTCAGGCCCCTCCAGAAGCGGAAGCGTCCTCCACCGACCAAACCCATCTAAGAATCCGGTCGTGGAGCCAGAGGGTTGGGAGTTCGAATCCCCCACGGTGCCTCCTTGATAGGGGCTGGACTGGATGATCCAAAGGGTCCCCTCCAGGTCTGCCGTTCTAAGAAGGTGGTGATGATGAAGAAGGTTCTGCGGGATGCTGGCCCAGGGTTATGGAGCTGTTTTTGGACTACGGCTCCCAGAATCCCCAGCCAGGCGGCGAGTCGGTGGCATGGTGTCCCGGCCTGCCTCCCCTTCCACCCGACCTACCCAAGTTCGTGGCCTCCATCACCATCTCCGAGGAGGTGTTGAGGGCTCCGATGGTGCTCCGGAGGAGGCGCGCCATCATGGTGTCCCCACCGACCTTGACCTCCAAGTGGTGGCTGCCTGCAAGAGATTAAAGGTTCAAGGCTCCCCCACCTCCCCCCTGTTAAGCTACGGAGCTTTACTGAATGGCCCCGTCCTGGTCCTTACTAATCAGGCCCACCTTACAGGGTTGTTAGGTGGATAAAAGGGCAGTAGGACAAACTCACGCTTACCCCTTGGATTTCTCGGGGGGCGGGGGGGAAGGTGCAATAAAAATGGAAGAAAAAGATTTTAAAAACCAAAGTCAATCTCCTGAAACAGCTTCCCCTAATTTCAGTGAGACTTCATTATGAAAGAATGATGCTCCACCTAAGGTTAATAAAATCTAATAAAAACAGCTGTTTTTTCTATTCTCAGAAAGAGAGAGGATTAACCATGATAGCTCCGTTTGTCTGAGCAGAACTTAATGTGCAGCAGGACCCCCCTATCCGCAGGATCAGCATCCACTGATTGACTTATCCACTGCCTGAAAAGACTAAAAAAATACCGTATTTTTTCCGTGTATAAGACTATACTTTTGTCTAAAATCTTTCGACTAAAAATTGAGGGTCGTCTTATACACGGAAGTAAGCTGAGGAGAGTACAAAAACAAGTGGAGGGGAAAGCAGGGATCAAAGCGATCCTGCAGCACTTTGATCCCTTTCCCCCCACTTGTGCTAAGCCCCACTTAGATTTCTTAATTTTGGATTAGAAAAATGGGGGGTGTCTTATACATTGAAAAATACGGCATTTGTCGTAATTTTTGCCTGATGCTCACAGCCAGGCTCAGGCGTGGAGGGAAAGGGAGGGAGGTCTCCCTTCCGCCCGGGGAAACAGAGGGAAAACACGGTGCCAACTTACTACGGAAGGAATATTCCACAAAGGAGTGGTGCCGGATGGTGCTGAATACTGTGAAAAGCAGAAAATCGAGGGACGCGGCGATCAGCAGAAACACGAGGGCTGGCACGCAGCCCAGGATCTCCCGCATCTGGAAAGAAGGTCCATCAGGGGAAGAGGAAATCCATGAGAGATGCAGGGAATCGGCTCGGGAAATAATATTTCCATAATAGGCCACCAAGAGGGGAGATTTTCTACAGCCCGAGTTAGCCAACGGGTTCCTTCCAGTTCTCGGGCTTCATCATCCCTTCCCGCTCTGCTGTTCAAAGGTTATTATGATTATATTATTATTCCTGGGTAAATGGGCACAATCCCACTGGATCACTCGAAGGAGGGAGTTACATGGAGGCATCACCAGGCAACTGGTCAAAATCTGCCAGGGAGCAGGTCTTTTGTAGAGCTAACGCTTCCTGATGGCCCCTTCTACTCGATTATCGGCTGTTGATATAACTCTATACTCATCTTTGCCTCCAGACGTAGGAGGGTTAGATCCAAGCGGTCAGGAGAGCCAGTCCTATGCCTTGAAGGAGAAGAGCCAGCCTGGGTAGCCTTGGGCAGGTGGCACAGTTCCAGGGCGCCCCTTTGCATCGGTGTAACTCTCCTCCATTGGGGGACTCACCCTGGGGGGGGTGGCGCTACAAGGGTGGCCGATGGAACCATTCACGCCCTCCAAGAGTTGCCCCACCACCTTTTCTAGATCTCTGCCCCCCAAACCCCATCCAGAATACCATCGTCTTGGTCTCGGGCGGCTGGAAAGAGAAGTACAGAGGGTCAACGGCTCGGCTTTGCTCGGCACGCCTCAAGGGCAGAAGCGTGCGCTGATTCTGAAAGATTAGCCGGGGGGGAAGGGAAAGGGAAGGAGAAAGAGAAAGGATGGAAAGTGAAGAGGATAAAACCGCGTTTGGGATTTGTCTGTCTTAAACAAACCACCTCCAACCCTGGAGATGCCTTCAGGAGGATCCCAGCAGAGCACATACAAAAGCCCAACCTGTCCTGAGCCTCTGATATCCAGAGGTAGACTGCCTTTGGACATGGAGGCTCTATGGATCTTGTGTCTCACGCCTACCCGAGAAAGGCCCTGTTGGATTGGGCCAGCGGCTTCGTTCATTGCAACATCCCCATTTCCCGTGGCAGCCCTCCAGGAGAACGTGCTGTTCAATGATCCCCAGGACTTATTACTCGGTGGTAGACTGCTGCTGAGCCTGGGAGCTCTCCTAAGTTGTGAGTCTTCCGTAGATAGTCAATCCTGCTGCCTCTTTAATTTTCTGGTTTTGTCCTTCCACTCTCCGAATATATTTGGCCACCGTCCTCTGCGGTCCTCAGATACCCACCCACCCCGGCCATTAAACCCACAGCCACCTTGCCATCACCCCCAGACACCTCTACAAACCCCCAACCCGTTACCTGCTTCCGCCGCCGGGCATCTATCTGCCGAAAATAGTGCGATATGTACAGATTGTCAAAGCGGATGTCTTGATTGTATTTGTTTGTGTACGAGTAAGCCCTAGAGGAACGGGGAGTGGGAGGAGAAAAGAAAGATTAGGAGGAATACAAGGTTGGAAAGTCATTTCCATTTCTATGGAAAAACAAGGCATCAACGGACTAGTCCTCAATGTACATGGAAAATGGAGCCTTTGTTTTTCCTTCTCCCTCCTCGTCGCTTTTTCCTTTTGTGCTCTGTCTCTTTTTTTATTAGCTTGTAAATCACGGCTGCAAGAACTGTCTTATCCTCAGGACTGTCTTATTTAATCTGCCCAGAAAGTCTTTACACACAGAGACACACAAGGAGGATAGCAAGCACTATCATAATAGCGAACCTTAGCATGGTCTGTGGCTCCTCTAGTGGCCAGTAATAAAATCATGGAAATCTATTTCTCTAGCGAATATAGCATGGTCTCTGGCTCCCTCTAATGGCCAGTTCTAGTAACTTCATCATTAGAAATATATACTTTTCAGATTTTTCTTTTAATATTTTAATATTTTAGACTGTAGTTAAGTGAATCAGCGTATACCGATCCCACGGATAAGGGGGTCCTAATGTACTCCTGATCTGGCACTTTAGTCCAGGAAAAGCAGAACGTAGACTGAGAAATTGATCAATCATTACTCCAGACTTCCTTTTCCCCCCCCAATTGTAGAGAGTCAGTGGGGTCCAGCGGTTAGCGCCCGGGACCCAGACTTGCAAAACATATTCTGGCCTACCTCGCAGGGGTCTTGGAAGGGTAAAGCAGTCAGCAGACAAAACACTGGAGAGAAATATAATTTTTAAATAAGAATAACGTGGGTAAGCTTCTGAGATGGCAGCTACCACACCCCCCCCCCAGTGTCCCAGGTCAGCTCACGAGGCAAAGACGAAAACGAAGGTGCAGGAGAGCAAGACGCGCAGGAAGGACACGGCGGTGCTGAGGTGGCGACTCTTTTCGGCGATCTCATCGTCAATCTGGAGGTTGTAGGACGAGATGTCGGCCCCAACCAGCATCGACTGATGTTCTTCCTGGGAAGAGAAGGGAATGGGGGGGCCTGTCACTCACGGGGGCCCAGCCAGAGCGTGCCACCTCGACGTCCCTGGCCCAGCGTCCGAGGCCGAGAACCCCGAGGAAAGCCCGGAAGGAGGAAACGCAACCTCCCTCCAAAGAACACGGAAATGATTTATCCCAGCCGGTTGGAAAAAAAAATCTGTGATGGTCCTAAACCACGACCAATTGGTAGTTCTTCATTACAGTGGTGCCTCGCTAGACAACGATAATCCATTCCACTGAAATCGCTGTTTTGCGAAATCATCGTCTAGCGAAAAGCATTTCCCCATTGGAATACATTGAAACCTGTTTAATGCATTCCAATGGGGAAGAATCGTCGTTGTCTAGCGAAGATTGGCGATAGGAAAGCCGCTTTGCGAACTGCAGGTCAGCTGTTTAAATCACTATCTTGCAAAGCTTAGGTCCTGAAAACACCCATTTTGCAAGCACGGAGGGAGCTGTCAAAATCGTCATCTAGCGAAAATCAGTTTGCGAAGCAGGGACCAAACATTGTCCAGCGAAATTCCCCCATAGGAATCACTGTTTTGCGAATCGCTATAGCGATCGCAAGAAGCCAATGTCTACCAAAAAAACTGTCATGTGGGGTAACTGTCTAGCGAGGCACCACTGTATTTTCATTTCCTGTGGGGCTTTTCAGAATAAATTTAAATCAGGGTGGGGCAAAATGTGTGTGTGTGTGTGTGTGTGTGAAATAAATTTAAATCAGGGTGAGGCAAAATGTGTGTGTGTGTTTTTTTGTGTGTGTACTACAAGTCCCATCACTCGCTGCTGGCACAGCCACTGGAGTGGGACACCATCTTTAATTGAATACATGTCTTGAGTGGGAACGCTTTTGTGCTCTAACGTTCTGCCTTTGGTACCCAGAAGCCGTCGACAAATGCATTACACATTTTTTTTTCAGAAAGGTCAGCAAATAGGAGCGTATTAGCGCTCATGCGCTAAGACCGTCAATTGAAAGGCGAACAGACGAGCGCTGATGGATTTCACCGCTCTTCCGTGGGCCGTTCGAAGACAAGAACCCGCCTTGATCACTAAGTTGGCCGTGAAATCCTTATTTAAGCTGTCCACGGAGCCGTTGACCCGGTCGTAGGTTTGCCCGAAGTTTCCTTCCACGGGAATCTTGTCGCGACACCAGGTGTGCATGACTGCAGAAAAAGATGATGAAGGTCAGCAGAGGGGTTGATTGACCTCGGGTGAATCGCGATCAGTTTGGGCACCGAGTGGAGCTTTGCCCGGTGGAATGATCTCCTGGCGCCCACCACAAAATGCCCCCTGAGCCCTGAAAACTGGGCACCCCATCCCCGAACAGCAACACAAATCCAATAGCTTGTGTTGCTGTTGTTGTGTTCAGGTAGGGTCTGTAAGCTTCCCAGAGGCATCTCGTTGGCTATGGGAGAACAGAAGACTCAATAACCATGTGCCGTTCAGATTTTTTGGACTACCCAGAATCCCCAGGGACTTACAGCCCCCAGATCCACACTTTTAGGCACATACAGTAACCTACATTTCACTCACCTGGATCCGGGCCTAATTCTTGGAGGCTGCATAGATGTCTCGGGCCTACTTCCTGTCCAAAGCAGGAAGTTGCGGTGGTGCTTCCTGGAAGCAGTAGTCTTGCCTTTCAGCTCAATAGAGGGTACCTCCCAAAGAACTATATCTCCAAAAAAGCGACCACTAAGGCAGCTTCCTGTTTTGGACATTAGGAAAGCTAGCACTAAGGCAGCTTCCTGTTTTGGACATTAGCGACAGGAAGTAGGCAGCCTCAGAGAATTAGGCCCAGGTCCAGGTGAGCATCAGTAGGTGTGTTAATGCAGGCTGGAACTCCCAGTATTTCTGCCTGGGGAATTCTGGGAATTGGAGTTTTTTTAAAAAAAATAATCCCACCAGGCAATTTGGGAAGACTTGGATTTCATCAGCTTGCGATTTGCTTCAGGTCTCATCAGCGGCAATGATAAGGAACGGAACCTCCCTGCTCAGAGGCAGTCTACCTCTATTGGGGAACACTATGTGGCTCATACTACCGCATTCATGTTCTGCCTGTGAGCACCTTATTAGGGAACCTGATTGGTCCCTGCGTAAACAGAATGTTGAGCCAGCCACTGTGATTGGAGGGGCAGAAGGCACCCCTTCCCCCCCCGGGGTGGACAGAACCAGGAGAGATAGAAAGAGCTGGGAGTAAAGTGGTGATTTGTGCACATTCATTTGTAGTTACAAGCATCCATACTGAGAAAGATGTGTTTTGTATGTGTACATACATGTGTACAAACTACACATGGAGGGAGGTGAGCAAGAATGCACACCCTGGTAGAAAAGGGTTGGCCGAGGGGAGCCCGACTCTGTGGTGGGGCAGTGAAGGTCCCATTTGTCTTTACGGATCATCAGTCACTGGGATTAGCTGGCTGGGCAATTTGATCTGGCACGGCTCTTCTCTTCTGGCTCAGCGCCCGGGTTGAATGTGTGCCTTCAAAGACAGCAGAGAGGGGATGGGGTGCCCTGGCAATCCTGCAAAAACAATTTGTCTTCCCGATAAGAGAACAGCGTGGTCCTGAGTGCCTCAAAATAGACACGGTGCCGCTGTTATTCCCAGCCTCTCACCTCCTTGGTTGGCGCTCACTCACTTTTGGCCAAATGGCAGAGGAAGCTGAATTTCATGGGAATGCAGAGGAGGTGGCTGATCAAGGGCACCGCGATGGTGCGCAGGCAGGACCGGTACTTGGTCTCAAACCAGGTCTGGCAACGCTGAACGGCTTGGTTGATGATGTCTAGAAAGAAGAAGAAGGCCACAATAGAAGAGTTCGATCTACGCCGCACAGTTATAGTGGTTCAATCACGCTTTAGCGATCTAGCGCTGAGTTCGATCTACACCGCACAGTTATAGTGGTTCAATCACGCTTTAGCGATTTAGCGCTTCAGCACTTTAGCGATTTAAGCACTTTAGCGATTTAGCACTTCAGCACTTTAGCGATTTAAGCACTTGAGCGATTTAGCGCTTCAGCACTTTAGCAATTTAAGCACTTGAGCAATTTAGCGCTTCAGCACTTTAGCGATTTAAGCACTTTAGCACCCTAGGACTCAACACTCAACCCTATAGAATCCTGGAATTTGTAATTTGGCTAAGGAATTTAGACATCTCCGCTTTATTTATTCTATTACTATGGACAGGTGTGAAAGCTGGAGAGTGAAAACAGCCAACAAAGGGGTGGGAGATGATTTGTTTGAAATGGTGTGCTGGAGGAGAGAGATTTGCGGATGCCCTAGACTGCCAGGAAGACGAACAAGTGGGTCCTTTAACAAATCAAGCGTGAATGATCCCTGGAGGCAAAAAATGTTGAAACGGAGGCTGTCCTACTTTGGGCACCTCGTGAGAAGGCAGGATTCTCTGGAAAAGACCAATCATTCTGGGAAAGATGGAGAGCAGCAGGAAAAGAGGAAGGTCAAAATACAAGATGGACTTACTCCCTAAAAGGAAGCCACAGGTTTCAGTTTGCAACAGCTGAGCGGACATTTTAGAGGTTGTTCATTGATAGGGTCACCATAAAATGTAAGGGACGTGACTGCATATGATAACAACAACATTAACTGTGTTGACATTGGTAGGATCTCTTCAGATTTTTTGGTAAGAATAAGGTATTTTAAAGCTCATCACTCGTTGTTTTAATCCATGAAATGCCAGTGATTTTGGGGGGAACTGGCTTTTTATTAGGTAACCACATGTTTCCGTGGGCGAACATTGTGGATTTTGTGTGCGTGTATCTCAATAAATTTAAAATTTGAGTAACTAAGGATCCAGTGTTTGAATATTCTAATTTAGATCTTGAGCAATCAAATCCACCTTTCTGGATAAATGTTCAGATCAGAAGTTAATTACCAATAACTTCCATTCTATAAAAAACTCTCGCCGTGCACTCCGAAAGCCTCAAAAATATTTCAAAACAGGGCTCGAAACACATTTTAGAATGTGTATTTTGAACGAGGGGAAGGGTGTTCAGAAATGTGACTTTTAAATTCCCATTTAAATACATGACCATTGAAATGCAGAGTTAATTCAATTTAAAGGCACCGTTAAGGGCAGGTGTAACAGCAATACTCATAAAAATTCTAACCCCTGTGAACACTAACTAAAATTAATGCCCAATTAAATGCAAACGAAATGCCAGCAAATGTCAAATTAAATGCAGACCTAAATGCAGTCAAATGGAAACGCTCATTAATGCCAGTTAAATGCTAACTTAAATGCAAATATAAATGAATGCCAAGTTTAAATGCAAATTCAAACTAAATTTAAAGCCCAATGGAAATTTGGAATATAAATTTAATTGCATTTATTTTAAAAATTTTGCAGACTAATAAGGACTCAGGAGGGCAAAGGCTGATCATGAACTCAAGGAAGGAAGGAAAGAAGGAAGGATCTGATGATGGATAAAAGAAAGGAAGGAAGGAGCTGATGATGGATGGAAGGAAGGAAGGAAGGAAGGAATGAGCTGATGATGAACGGATGGAGGGAAGGAAGGAAGGAAGGAAGGAAGGAAGGAAGGAAGGAAGGAAGGAAGGAAGGAAGGAAGGAAGGAAGGAACTGATGATGAACGGACAGAAGGATGGAAGGAAAGGAGGAGCTGACGATGAAATGAAGGAAGTATGGAAGGAAGGAAAGAAGGAGCTAGCTGATCATGAAAAGAAGTAAGGAAGGAAGGAGCTAATGAGGAACCAGAACTGGTGACTTGAGACCCGGAGATCACACTATGTATAGCGTTCACCATTATAAAACCGTTTGCTATTATCCACGTTTTTCGGCATCTGCAGAAGGGCTTGAGACCCATTCCCCACGAATACAGGGGTCCTGTTGTATTGGTTCAGACATTACCAGCACCATCTGAGAGGCTGAATCTTCTCCATTAAAGTTTGGAGTAAAACCTGGAGTGGTTTCTCACAGCCCCCGCTGACATGAGAGCCACCAGCGTCCCCTGCCCAGGAGCACGTTGGTACTCCTCCAGATCCGTCCCTCGTCCGGGATTTCTCCCCTCCCAAGGGACTCCATCTCCTGACAGCCCTGGCACCTTCAAGGGGACTAGCGCCTTAAAGGCTTCATAATTGGAAACGGCTCCTTCTCTCCCCCTATCCTCACCACCATGTCCTTGAGGATCTTGCGCAGAGGGGCCGTGGAGATTTTCCAGGAGCGCTTGGCGTTTTCGATCTGCAGCTCCACCGTGCAGCTGACGGAGCGGACCACTTCGCCCAGGTTGTGGCGGATGTTGGCCACGGGGCCTGGAGGCGAGAGGCGGGTAAGCATTTTGGTAAATGGTAGGGCCGGCCCTGCTAAATCACCACGGCGTTCTAGCGCTAAAGTTGAGCCTCGCTTACGAAAACAGGGAACAGCAACAATCACGAAGGAAAAGCGAAGCACGGGAGGGAGCGATGCTTTAAACTAAATACTGTACAGTGGCTCCTCGCTAGACAGTTACCTCACATGACAGTTTCTTCGCTAGACATTGACTTTTTGCGATTGCTATAGCGATTCACAAAACAGTGATTCCTATGGGGGAATTTCGCCGGACAATGTTTGGTCCCTGCTACAGCAACAATCACGAAGGAAAAGCGAAGCACGGGAGGGAGCGATGCTTTAAACTAAATACTGTACAGTGGCTCCTCGCTAGACAGTTACCTCACATGACAGTTTCTTCGCTAGACATTGACTTTTTGCGATTGCTATAGCGATTCACAAAACAGTGATTCCTATGGGGGAATTTCGCCGGACAATGTTTGGTCCCTGCTTCGCAAACCGATTTTCGCTAGATGATGATTTTGACAGCTCCCTCCGCGCTCGCAAATAGGTGTTTTTGGGACCTAAGCTTCGCAAGACAGCGATTTAAACAGCTGATCTGCAGTTCGCAAAGCGGCTTTCCTATGGCCGATCTTCACTAGACAATGACAATTCTTCCCCATTGGAATGCATTAAACAGGTTTCAATGCATTCCAATGGGGAAATGCTTTTCGCTAGACAATGATTTCGCTAAACACCGATTTCAGTGGAACGGATTATCATCGTCTAGCGAGGCACCACTGTAATAAATAAATGTCAAAACACATTTCTAGCACTTAGATATTAGAGTGGCCCTAGAGCAACTCAGTATTTCTCGTACCGTCGTAGATGGACGTCAGGAGGTACGTGAGGACATAAATCCGGCCTTCCTTCCCCAGAAATTTGGGGACCACCAAGAGGCTGGCACAGCGGAAGTGGGGGGAGACGCCCCAGCCCAGGGCTGCGACCCCTGCAGGAAGGATGAAGAAGAAGGTCACAGGACCAAGGCTCAAGGCTGGGCTGCTCCCTGCGCATTCGGGCACCTCTAGGGTATCGTGCGACAGCGCATGAGAGGGTAGCTGTAGACCCAACGAGCAGCTCAGGTTTCTGGAGGCCAGCGGATCCATGGCCCGTTTTAATAAGGAGAAATCCAAGATATGGAGCCGTGTCCCCCAAAATCGGTTCAGCACCTTAGGGTTCGGATTAAAACCAGGAGCGGATTCGTTGCAATCGGTTGTCCCTTATACCTTTCGCTTGTTACTGGCTTAGCTATCGAAGCTCAGGTCTCTCCAATGTTGTTCCTACTGTGTTTCCCCGAAAAATAAGACGGGGTCTTATATTAATTTTTTGCACCAAAAATGCATTAGGGCTTATTTTCAGGGGATGTTTTATTTTACAGTCATGTCATCATCTTCTGGTGGCTGTCCTAGGGTGGCGGGCGGGGGTTTCACTTCACTGGGGCTTATTTTTGGGGTAGGGATTATATGACGAGCATCCTGAAAAATCCTACTAGGGCTTATTTTCAGGTTAGGTCTTATTTTGGGGGAAACAGGGTATAGCATTAGACTACAACTCCCATGATGCCCAGCCAGTATTCTTGTCCAGCCCCTTTTAAGAGCGAAGGGTGAAAAAAAGCTTGTCATGGCAATCAGAAACAGTGGTTCTTTATCTTTCCAGATTTTTCTGGATTTATTGGGTTCTGTACCCCCATTTTTTAAAATATACCCCCCACTTCCCCAGGGGAACTGTACTCACCTGCCAGGCCACTCGTGAGCTTGATTTTCTGATCCTCACTGAGGCTCATGGGGAAAATTAGGAGCCGAGAGAGACCTGGAAGCCAAGAGTGGCGTTTATCATCATCTAATCATCTTCGAACCACAGAGGAGGAAGGGATCCTATGGAGATCATCCAGTCCTATAGGGATCCTAGTATAGAGATCATCCCTGCCAAGGAAGGTCCCGTGGGGGGATTCGAACCCCCAACCGCAGAGACCTGAGCTACCCAGCTAGTTTTGAATGCAACATTTATCGTTCCCGTATTTCCATTGGGCCCTGGGTCAAAGAAAATGTGCGGTCGGAAACAGGTCGTATCACCTGTTCTTTAATTCTTAATTCTTTAATTCTATATCGATATAAATCGAATAAATAAAATAAAATAAATGTGCAAAAGTGGGTTAGTTTTTGTACAGTTAGAAACCTCGGCATCCGAACGGCCCTGTTTTGTCCCTGAGGCAAGGGGGCATGGCTTTCCCCGCCAAAAATATGTGGCCCAAACCCCCCAAAACAAAAGAGGAAGGGTTAATGGGGATGGCTCCACCCACCGTTCATTCTGGCCCCGCCTCTTGTCAGTTCTGGCTCCGCCTCCAGAGTTGCTTCGCCAGGCACTTACCTACTCCCTCCCTCCACCCACAAGGCACAAGGGCGCCCAAAGAGACCTACCCAGAGCGAATGAGATCCCCACGGCCGCCCCCAGGAAAAACTTGGCAGGCCGAAATTCATCCGGGTGGCTCCACAGGAAGGTGATGCAGAAACGGGGCAGAAGGGAGCTCAAGGCGTG